CAATCTCACTACTAAGGAATCTAATATGTTTGTCATTGATCAACAGCTGGGGTTTAGTGATGTTATCAATTATGTAGAAAGCCTTGTTTCAGTCAGTAACATACATATTGAAAATTTTTTTTTGGGGGGGGGGGGGAAGAAAGCCTTATCTGGAATGAAGGTTCCAATCTCTACTTAGAGAGATGCTCACATTATGTGGCACAATATCTCAGATATGATTGCCTTAAAGAGAAGAATACGTGGCGTGTGCTGACAAGAAAAATCGTTATCCTAAATCTTGATTATTGCATTGCATATTTATTTTGTTTAAACATAGTCTACTAGAAATGAACCTCTGACAAGTTAGATTATTTGGCTGCTGTTCTTCTAGCTCAAATGAGGAGTTCCACCCATGATTTGGAGTTTATTTGTTCTTCTTTCATTACCATAATATGATTCTAAAGCAACCTTGATCCTCAAATACTTTCAAAAGCTTCCCAAGTGGCTTGAAATAATTGAGTAAAATGTAAGAACCCAATAAAAAAAATTATAAAGACTTGATTGTTAACATCTGGGTTTTATGTCATCTCAGCACATTTTTCTTGAGTTTTATATACGTTTGAATACATTTATGCATATTTTGGATATTCAAGATAGGAAAATGCGCATTTGATTTTTTGCTGCATATCATTGCTCAATGGTGCATCTTTTGTTAATTCTCCTCGTTAGTTTTCATGCTTTTGATGTTATTTATGTAGGAATATTTTGATACAATGATCAAGTGGTAACAACTAACTTGTCAAGCTTGGAAGATTTATCAGCAAAGAGAGAGCCATGGAAAATTAGTGCAAGCATGGAGAAACCGAGTTTAAACAGAGAGGCCAAGCGCCTAGGCCATGACTGTAGTGCCTGGGTCGCACGTGATCAATGCAGAAAGGAGACAGAACATTAGTGCTTAGGCGCTAAAACGAGGGCGTGGGCACTTTGTCATTAACAGCAAAATGCTAAGTCCTAGTAAACCAGAAAGTTTAAGGTTTTGGAGCTATGTTGTCCCTCTTCCTTTTGTTCAATGCTTGTGCTAAATATATGTGGCTAAACCTTTAGTTCTAGAGTTATTTTGAGCCATTGTATGTATTGACTTTTGATTGCTCATCTCATTTTGTTATAAATTAATGATACATGTGTTCATTTTACTTTGTTCTATTGACTTTTGATTACTCCCTTCATTTTGTTATTAATTAATGATACATGTGTTCATTTTACTTTTATTTTTTGGAATGCTTCTAAGTGCTTAATCACTATTTAGTTGTTTGATTCACTTGATTGAAACTTGAGAGAGTTAAATTGAGATAGAACTTGCGTAAAATTGTGGAAGAACTTGAAATTTACTTGTTGAATGGATGGTTTTATTAGTAAGATAGAGATATAATTATAAAAATTGCATAGTCACTTTGTGATTGGAATTTAAAATTGGGTTTTATTAATTATAACAAGAGATTGAGCAATTAATAGAATTGAACACTTTGTTTTTGATTTGGAAAAGCTTTTACAAATATATTTTTGAATCACAGATCATTAAAAGGATTTATGTGAGGAAAATTGAATGTTAATAAATACAAGGATGATAAATAATCATAGATCCCATTTTATCCTTAAATTCCAAGTATCATATGCTTTTATTAATTTTCAATTTTATAAATATTTTTCCTTCACTCTTTATATTTGTGTTAGTGAAATTAAATGAAAGTGTATTTGATCGGGTTTTGAAATGAAATCCTCGTGAAAATGATACTTTACTCATCAACTTTATTATTTATCACGACTGATATACTGGCAGTGCGAGCATTGATTAAAATTAGTTGAATAAGGACCTATGGATTTATTATGCCCAAAAATTAAATAATGTTATATAAAATTAGCCTAGATATAAAATGAAGTTATATAAGATTAGTGTAGTTATTCAAATGATTCACATGTCAATCAAATGATTATCTTTGATAGACTTATAAATTTGTAAAATTAGAAATAATATTTTTTTTTGGAAGATAATTAGAAATAAGATTTTCTTGGAGAAGGTAAGGGAAGAAGATTACAGTAGATATTTTATGATCGATATATTAAGTCGGAGATATGGATAAATTAATAATGAAATATCTTATGTTATTGAAAATTTTTGATATGAAATTTATTTATAACGTCTTAGTTATTTATAACTTATAAGCATCCAAAAATATATATATCTTATAAATATTGTGTGTGTGTATATATATGTGTATGTGGATGTCCATAACTTCCAACTCTCAGGATTATTTATCTTCGAATGTTCTTAATCCATAACTTTAGGATGTGTTTGGTACGAGAGATTTGGGAGAGAGGGGAGGGGAGGGATTATAATCATTTCCCCTTGTTTGGTAACACACAAATTTTGGGGGGAGCAGAATTTTTTTAAAATTTTCCCTCCCCTCTCCTCCCGAACTTCCCCTTCAAAATTGGAAGGATTTAGAGAGAAAGGACAATATTTTGTCATGTTATGATCATTATGTCCATATTTTGCCATGTTGTAACCATTATGTTCATATTTTATTATGTTGTGATTATTATGCCCATATTTTAAATAAAACAAGAGCAAAATTATCCATATTAAAATATTTTTCCTTATGGTGTGTTTGGTATGAGGGATTTGGAAGGGAAGGGAGGGGAGGGGAGGGATTTTAATCATTTTCTCTTGTTTGGCAACACACAAATTTTAGGAGGGGAGGGAAAATTTTTTAAAATTTCCCCTCCCCTCCCCTCTTCAACCTCCCCTCCAAAATTGAGAAGATTTGGAGGGAAAAGGCAATATTTTGTCATATTATGACCATTATGTTCATATTTTGTCATGTTGTGACCATTATATTTATATTTTGTCATGTTATGACTATTATGCCCACGCCTTAAATAAAATAAGAGCAAAATTGTCCATATTAAAATATTTTTCCCTCCCCTCCCCTCTTTTTTATAAATCCAAACAAGGTGATATTAAAATCCTTCCACTCCCCTCCCCTCCCCTTCCCTCCATTAAAATCCCTCCCCTCCCCTTCCTCTCATTGAGCCAAACATACTCTTACTCTCCCCTCTTTTTTTTATAAATTCAAACAAGATAATATTAAAATCCTTCTACTCTCCTCCCCTCCCCTCCCATTCCCTCCATTAAAATCCCTCCCCTCCCCTTTCTCTCATTGAGCCAAACATACCCTTAGAAATAATCCCTTGGTTTTTCTCCCAATTCTTGTCTTGTTATTTTCTTTCTACTTTCTAACTTTAAGAATAATTTATTTTGTTATTGTTCACATCATACTTAGATATAATGAATCAAAACAAAAAACTTACATTAACTATATTATTTTAGTACCAATTTAAAGTCCTTTATCAAACTTAATTTTGAAAGCATATTGTTATAACCTATAAGAAACAGCACTTGAAGCACAAAATTATAAAATAATATTTGACATTGAAATTTCCAACCCAATTACTTTATATATATATATATATCTATATATATATTCTATAAATATATATCAAATTATTTTTATAATGGTGGGATTATGTTTTAACTATTTAAGGAATGAGAAGTATTTAAGATATGATTCATATAACTCTTCTAATGTATATATAACAATTTATTGAGGGATTTAATATAACTTAGTAGTATTAATTAAATAGAAATATGCGGAAACAACTCTTATATTCCTGTTAGTTACTGCACCAACTCTCCAGAAGCTGAAGCCAACAAACCCTAACCATCAATAATGCCTTTACACCTCAACCGATGTCTCTTTCGTATTGTAAAATCTGCAATATTATTTGTAAAATTAGAAATAAGATTTGATAGAGAGGGTAATGGAAGAAGATCATAGCAGATATTTTAATAATAATATCTTATGTTAGCGATAATTTATGATATGAAGTTTATTTTGTAGCTAAATTTTGGAGGGGAAAGACATTTATGCCTTTATTTTATTTTATCTTAAAAAAGGATTATTTATTGCGGATTTATAAGATACATAATGAGATTTATAATGAAAATTAGACAATTTATAAAAAACATAAACTAATTAACAATACATAAGAAAATTACAACAAAAATGAGGTGATTTATAAAAAAAAATAGTGAGGGATTTACAATAAATAACCACAAAAATATCTTTTCACCTGCACATAAAATTTAATTTAATTTTTGTTCAGGGGTACAGTGAAATTTGACAATGTTTTTGCGGGGAGGTTTTGGATAACAAGTACCCGGGGGGGTTTGGTAGGGAAATTCTTCCATTTATTAATACTACTGGTCAAACCGCACTCAAATTCCGTTGATACTAATACTCCTCCGGTACTAATTATAAAACCCAATTGATTTATTTAAAGAGATTAAGGAAGTAAGTTAAGTTGGTTATTTATAATAAATAAGTGTTGTTATTCCTAAAATATTCTTGCTAATTAAGTATATTGGCTAAAACTATCATTATTAAAAGGATTATCTTGGAAAAAAATGCATAAATATAAAAGAGAAAATGGATTGGGTCTTATAATTAGGACCAAATAAAAAGTCAAATTGGGTCTTATAATAAGGACCGGAGGAGTATTATATTATCTCTCTACTATTTTTAATATAGCACCTAATTTTTATTTTTATTTTTTTTAAATATAAAATTTATTTCTTATATTTATCATTTTTTTTTAAATTATCTTTATAAATACTTCGTTAACTATAATCAAATAGAAAAGAGAGAAAGGGTATTTAGAAAGATGATTATGGCGTTTTAAAAAAATGTGTCACTTTTCTTATAATTAATTAACTTACTTAATTTTTTTAACTTAATCAAATTAGTTAAATGAGTATTATACTAAGAGCAGGAATAAATTGAAATTGCAATTCAAATTAAAATTAAATCGAAATATCAAATATTTATGCACCAACACTTCAAGCTAAAACCCATAAACCCTACGCCAACCGCCGTCTCTTTCGTCTGCGAATTCTGTGAAGCGACGGTAATGGAAGGCAACAGCGCTTTTCTGCCGCAAGAGATCATCGTCAACATTCTCAAGAGACTTCCTGTGAAAACCCTAATTCGATTTCAGTGTGTCTGTAAAAACTGGAAAAATCTCTTGAAGGATCCATTGTTCATTGCAGATCAACTCCGCCACTCCAGTCATCGACCTTATTTTCTCGTCCAACAACTCTATCGGACAAACAATTCGTTGTACTTGTGTTCATTCGATCGCGACTTTCAACTCCATGAAGCTCATAACCCTCCTCTGATTGATTACGACTTGTCCAGTTCTGATAGTTTTTCAGTTGTTCGGATGATCGGTTCCAGCAACGGCTTGCTCTGCGTTGAACTCTGTGATCATTATGTGTCTCCTCATAAGCTTCTAGTGTGGAATCCAGCTATTAAGGAGGTGACAGAGGTACCCCAAGCTACTAATTGTAAGAATCAGTTATCTATAGGATTTGGGTTCAGTAAGATTGTTAATGATTACAAGATAATTAAGATTTCTGTTTCTGAGTTTTATTTTGATATGAATAGGGGTTCATATTGGGTACACAAGAGGGGTGTGAATGAACTTTTAGTGTATTCGTTATGCACGGGGTTGTGGAAAGATGTGGAATTTGGGGACACAAAGGATATACGTATTTATTGTGAAGCAGCCACTGATAATAATGGAACCATTATCTGGCTTGCACAAAATTTGAATGGTTATCTGATAGTCTCATTTGACATAGCAATGGAAGTGTTTACATTAATACCAATGCCTGATTTACACCCCAGCTCCACTTGTATTCCTACTTTTTATGAGAACAAACCAGGTATTATTTCTTACAAAGAGATAGGAAACTCCAGATCTGGTTTCATTCATTTGTGGGTGGTTGGGGTGAATGCGTGTGCATCTGGAGGAGGGAGATGGACTTGGACTAAAATATATAGCAGCAGTCCCAATCTCTATCCATACTGTTTAATTCCAAGGAACATTTGGAGGAATGAAATTGTCTGCACAGTTAATGAATTCAGTCGGAGAACTGAAGAATTTGGTGAGGTCATAGAGGATCGAAGAACTTTATATTTGTTGAATCTCACACCACTTATGAATCTAACAAGTTTGTTATGAAGAATTATAGTTGTAATTATTGTACTAGAATCTTAGATTATGTGGAAAGCCTTGTACCAGTTCGTAACATTCACATTTAAGAACTTTGATCCTTAATCTTAGTTTTACATTGTAAATTTACTTTGTTTAAGTACTTTTGGTGGAAGATCATTTGATTGTTCATAAACTTTTGATGCCCTTTTGAGATGTTATAACATGTGGAAGAATTTATGCAGAATCTCTCTTTTCTCTTCTCCTCTCCCTGTGACTCTTTCCCTCTGAACCTGTGACTTTCTCCTTTCTTTCTGTGATTGCCGTTATTTTCTTAGAATCCCTGTGACTGCACTTGAGTACTATAACTGATATTTCTCTCTTTGCAATTGTACTGGGAGTCTGTGATGAATTTCAAACTATACGTTACCAGATTTGCATCCATATTTCTGTTCTATTTTCTCGTGCATTTCTGACTATAATTTCAAGTAACACCTCTGCTACATTGGTGCTTTCATTGCCTTCCGCTACCATGATAGATTCTTTTCTAAAGTCTGCCACCACTGATTTTGATTATTTAGCCGCCAAAACTAAACGATTCGTTGATTTCTTGGAGCGCCGACTTTCTGCAGACATAGCTCGCTATGACCGTGTGAACGTTATGATTGATTCTATCAAACACAAATTGGAATCACTACATAATAAATTCAATCGTATGTTATCCCCTACCTTCATGGATATGAGCTCTGTTTCTGCCATAGTTGATATCCACCCCAAATCTGACATTGTGTATTCGCCGACCATGATAGTTACGAGTTCGGCTTCTACCATCAATTCTCCCATTTTTGACGGCTTGGATTCTTATATGGCGGAGGTTACAATTGGGTTTTTTTTTGATGAGTGGTTGGAGTTCCATGTTCTGTGTTCTGATTCAGCACATTTGGCGAATTATTCAGTGCTTACTGGCTCCATGGTGAGTTCTGATCCTATAAATGGGTTTGGTGCTTCAACTGTTGTGGATTCTGACACCTTATTGATGACGATGAGCAAGATTTGTGTTGAAGATGACATTCTCAAAAAACACGATGCACCCCACCTTGTGAAGCCGACTTGCAGTTGTTACAACTCTGCTCAGTGACTCTCTGATGCGCTTACTAATGCAGCTCTATTAAATTCTTTTAAGCTCCCAAGGCTTATGCTTGGTGCTTTGAAAAACCATGGGTACTTCCTCAATTTATTAAATTCTAAACCATTGGCTTTCGAATGTTATGCCTATGCCTTACCTATTCCCCTGTTGTCTGGTTTTACAGATGTTGGTCATTGTTGTTTATCACATAGTCGCTTACATATACAGTTGGTGTTTGATCCCGGGCCCTCAATCCTTGTTCAATTCTTAACTACTGATTTGTGGCCATGCCTTGTACTTTTTGGGTATCATACTTTGGTTTCACCTCTGTAGCATTTTGTTTTGATGGCAAAGAACTACAGAGGCAATGATAAATGTTTTTATTGACATTGCACCTATTTGTGCATTAGTCATGAAACTTGAATCCAAAATTCTGAAGTGTTGTAATGTCTCAGTTACTGGTGTGATTATTTTTCCAGATAAGAATATTCTGCCGCAACTAATTAACGGTGATTTTTGTTCTACTTTTTCACCTCTTGTTACCTATAAGAGCTTGAATGATTATAACAGACACTTGTTAGAATTATTGCATATCAAGGACTGATTTGGAGGGGACACGAGCATTTTGCTTAACATGTGCTGCATGCAAACTTTGAACAACTACCTATGGAGCCAAGTGCCGACAATAAATGGATAATAGAGAGTATTGATCTGGACATTACTGGATTGGTTCTCAGTAAATTCAGTGCATATGGATTAAGTTTACATCAGTTTGAAGGTCTTTATCATTGTGGACACGATAACTGTTGGCTAGATGATCATCTGTTGCTCTTCATCGCCTCATGTCTACTGTTCTTAAAAACGACTAAATTACTAGCGTTGTTTTTCCACAAGCAGCTAGTACCTTGTTGTGATGCCTTGGAAGCCCAAAATGATATTTGTATTGTTATGAACCTATATACAAGGACCCACATAAGCAAGTCAATTCTTCCTTTGCCCATAGTGCAGAGGGATTTTGCAGTTAATTTCATCAACTTATTTCCTTTTGCTTGGGAGCAAGTTTCAGTTCTTTTGGTTGTCCAAATTGAGCCGTGTGGTATTATTGTTGAAAAAAACATCAAGACTATGTTTTACAAGTTTTCAGTTCGATGGTTGAATTGCCTGTCGCCCTCGTCAAAGCTACAAGTCAGTTATGCTTTCAACACCGTGTTTTTGGGATCTATTATATTTAACTTCTTGGAATGGTTTGGATCCTCCTGTGAAGCATATCCTTGTTTGGCTTATGATTACCTTTTATTCTCTGGCTTGGCTTGCTCCACTTGGGTATCCTAACACTTATTTGCTCAGCATGCTGTATTCACCAGTTATTTGTAAATTCCCTTTGGCTACTGCACTTGAGAACTGTCATGTAGCTACTGCATTGGCACTTTATAATGAGATGATGCTCGATGTTTGCTATCCGACACTAATTCATACCTTTGACCTTGAGGACAAGGTCAATTTCAAGAGGAAGCAATGTTATGGTCCAGAAATGTGTGGGCCTTATGGAAAGAGATGGGCCCAAAGCTCATTTACATGGACCCAAATAGATGGAATCCAAATAGGGTTGGAGATGGAAATACAAGGGAGAATAGGAGGCAGTGTGGGGTGTGGAAGAATTTATGCAGAATCTCTCTGGCTTCTCTTCTCTACCTGTGAATCTTTCCCTATGAACCTGTGCCTTTCTCCTTTCTTTCTGTGATTTCCGTTATTTTCTTAGGGTCCCTGTGACGGTTCTTGAGTACTATAACTGTTATTTCTCTCTTTGCGATTGTACTGTGAATCTGTGATGAATTTCGAACCATACGGTACTAGATTTGCATCCATATCTCTGTTCTATTTTCTTGTGCATTTCTGACTGTAATTTCAAGTAACATCACTGCTACATATTCACTGCCAAATATTTTTAGCTTTGTTTGTATAGATATGTGCACATGCGTGTGTCTCTAATTTCAGGTTGTTATCCTTAGTTTTCATCAATAAGATCGCTGATATATGGATTATGGATTATACCAATAGTTTTATATCATATGAGAGCACACAAAAGCAGGTGAAGTTAATTTTATTTTCTTTCCTGTTCATTTCATTTAAATTGATTTTATATGATCATTTGAAAAAATGGTGTGTGGTTGAAAGATTTTAATTACTTTTTTAACCATTTCATCTTATATATTTTCTCTATTAAACCTTTCGAACGCTGCTTATCCATTTCTTTAAATTGAACTCATTCCTTCATTTCCCCTTCATCTTTGTCTAATGATGCATAGGGTGTAAGATTAATAGGTGGTTAGATATCTGTGAGGCGATGGGTTGAAGCTAATTAGTTACGCATTATTTTTAAATTTATTTATATGATTTTTTTAATTAAATTATGTGGATGGTTAAAATTGATATTTTTTTCGACTTCAAAATTGAAAGTTCACAAGGCACCTTTCATGCATAGCTTGTTGCGGGTTAGGATCATCATTATTCTTTTTTAAAATGGGGTTATATAATCTTAGAGTAGTTATTCAAATCGCATAAAAACACCTTTGAATATATAAAATAACAAAATGAGTTCCTGAATTAACATAATTTTTTGAGAAGTGTGGGTCTTAAATTGTAAATATAAAATGAAGCCTAAAAGACTAAAATGCTCCTATTTTATTTAGAAACGTTAATGAAGGTGGGGAAAGAAAATTTATGGTGGGATCTACAGAGAGAAGGAAAGGTCGACATATTTTGTAGCTTCCAACTGTGGTGATCAAGTGAGTAAAGTTTCTAACTATATTCTTCTATTCTTCCCTCTAAAATCGAGCAATGTGATTCTCTTCTTCGTTTTGGTGAGTTGCATTATGGTTCAATGTGTTATAAGTTAGGAGGGGGTGAGAGATGAAATGATGATAAAAGATATTAGTTGGAAGAGGTTGTGATTAGTTTGAGATAGAATATTTTTGCTTTTATAGTCTGATTCCTAATCTTTAATTTGCATGGGTTGGTTGTGATGGACAAGGGTTAGGAATGTTAGAAATGGCAGAATGTGGGGGAAAAATGGAACTTGGAGCAATGAATACTGTAGAAATGTAAATGGTTATGTTTTTACAATTAAAAGTTGTTATTTGCTAATGCATTGTTGTTATTTTCCTTGAAAATGTTGTTATTATGCTTATAGTGTTGTAGTTAAAACTTATTATTTTGCCAACAAATCGATGCTAATTTACCTACTAGACTTATAATTTTCATATCTAGACTTGTGGTTTCACTAACTGAAGTTATAATTTTTACATCCATGCTTTTACTTTTTTAATTAAACTTGTAATTTCTATATCTAAACTTGTTACTCCTTCGATCTTTAATATAAAACCCATTTAACTAATTTGATTAGATTAAAAAAATTAGATAAGTTAGTTAATTATAAAAAATGTGACACGTTTTTTCTAAAATACCATAATTATCTTTCTTAATACTTCTTCTTCCTCTTCTAGTTGATTATGGTTGATGGAGCATTCATAGGGATAATTTAGAGAAAACTGATAAATATGAAAAATGAGTCTTATATTTAGGACCAAACCAACTCAACAATTGGGTTCTATTTTAAAGACCGAAGGAGTATTTCATTTGCTAGACTTGTAATTTTCATATTCAGATTTTTTTCCACTACCCTTATCCAAACTTGTTTTTTTTAACTTGTGAGACTTGTAATTTGTAATGTTATTTCATTAATCAAACTTGTAATTTGAATATATGCATCCCAACTTATTATTATGTTGGTAGGATTGAAAATTTCCTGGGACTATTACAAGAAATGAATGAAGTTCTAATGACCTTTGATAATGAACATGTGTCAATGAGTGTTGAGAATAGTGGTGAATGCCTAACTTATGAGGGAGGTGGTTTAAGTCAAAGAAGCATGTGTAATGGTTTAGAGTGAACATTAAGTGGATAGACTATTAACTGAATGTCTAACTTATGAAGAGGTGGTTTGTAAGTAATATGTTTGATGATAGGGGAACATTGAGTTGTTATATCATTTTAATGTGCACTTGTCATTAAATATTGCAAAAAATGATTACTGTTAAAGTAATACTGATTTTCCTTTTGTTATTTGGCTATACCATTGTTGTAATTTTTCATGGTAATATTATAACTATAGACTTCATACTATAATGGCAGCAATACTACATGACAATATTGGTATTCTGTTGGTGACTACAAAATACAAAATTTTAACATTGTAAAAGATAACAATATAAACATATTACAGTTCTAAGTGTGTGAAAAGTTGTTGCATTTACGTAGTCCAAAATTGTAATTTGGCATTCACAATTTATTATTTGGTATACTACACTTACTATACAGTAGAAAAGAATGAGAGGCAAAGTCGATGATGGAGATGTTAATTGAATAAGTTATGGTTAGTTTGAGGTGCACTTGTTGTCAAATCATTCAAAAACTGGTTGCTGCCAAAACATCTTTGGTTTTTTTGCTTTTCGTTTTTTTTTATTGGCTTGCTGATAGTGTTGAAATTGCGGACTTGTTACTATGATGGTAGTCACATGACAATACGTTTTGAAAATATTGGTCTTTTGTTTTTTGGACAAAACAATGTTAACATTTTGCATTTATCAATTTTAAATACTAATAATGTAAATCTATTTAATGATCTAAAATTAATGAGAAATCCAGTCACAAACATGTAATTTTACTTACGAAACTTGTTATTTGACTTACCACTCTTGTCAGTTAGCTTACTGGTTTTGTCATCTGGCAGTGAAATGTGAAAATAATGATAATTTTTTATAAAACCTAATTTTATCAGAAACTCAATTACATAATTGTTATTTTACTTATTATTCTTGTCATTTGACTTACTGCTCTTGTCATTTGACAGTGAAATGTGAAAATAATAGTAACTTTTCATGAAACTTGATTTCATGAGAATTCAATCATAAAATTGTTATTTCACTTACGTACTACTCTTGTCATTGGACTTACCATACTTATCATTTAGTAGTGAAATGTGAAAATAATAATAAATAAAATATTCCTCATTATTAGTATACTGATAACAACACTTATATTAGAAATAATAATATTCTTGTGGCTAATAACAAAATACCAATATGACCACGACATCGACTATTTTTTTAATGACAACAAAATATTCTTCATCACTAGTATACCAATAACAACACTTGTGTTGGAAATAACAATATTCTTATGGCCAATAACAAAAAAATCAATATGGTCATGACAGCAAAATTTAGAGCTTGCCATTAATTTTATTTT